TTAAACTTGTATTCCAATACAAATATCTAAATATCCTTAAATCAAAATACAATTATTTGAGATGCAAAATGAAGATGTTTTTGTGTTTTTTTTTTTGTATAAATTAAGTGAGTTTATGCTTTAAAACAAGAACAAATATCTATCAATGGGGTATGAAAACTTGTTTTCCCATCATTATATTCTCCTTATACATTTACATTTAGAGAACATATTGAAGTCCCGTGTTTCCTTTAATTAATCCCTTACATTTTCTTAAATTGGTCTTAAAGAGGTCTTAAAAATTCTTCAATTTACCTTCATAAAACTTACAGAAACCCTGTAAAAACACTCAAAACACCCTGGCAGTGGTGTTTGCATAGTCATGCACAAACATCAAAAATAGTTATTTCTAAAATGAATAACTACATTTTTATTTCACCCACAGACCTGCGTCAGATGATGCATGGGTGTTTGCACGGTGGAATGCAATTCAGGCAGTTGCCGTCATGTCTTTCGGTGAGGTTTTACTTTCAGTAAACATATTTCAATTAAAGTACCTTTTTCAATCCAAACTTTGACATGTTTCATATTTTTCAGCTTTTATCTGCCACCACAACAGCTTTATGATCTACGGGTCGCTGCGGGAGCCCACACTGAGCAGCTGGTCTCTTGTCACTCATGTATCTGTGGGTTCAGCTGTACTAGTCAGTGTTGTCTTTGCTGCTGCAGGTTATGTGACTTTTACTGGTTATACACAAGGTAAATTACTGTAAATAATGTCACAATATCTGCACTTATTACTTTGATAAATCTGTGCCATATGGTACAAAAAGCAACCAAAGAATTGCATGTTTTCCTGTTGTGTTACTTGTCCAAGGTGATATATTCGAGAACTACTGCAGGAATGATAACTTGGCTACATTCGGTCGATTCTGCTATGGCGTCAGTATAATCACCACGTTCCCTCTGGAGTGCTTTGTAACCCGTGAGGTAAGATAATTTAAGCTTTTACTGTATATACAGAATGGGTGATTTTTCAACTGGGGCACTTTTGACTTCTTGAAAGCTTGAAAAATGTCCTGAAATGAAAATCTGATCATGGCCTTGATCAACCTTTAAGTGGATTTTCCATCATAAATATACTGATCTCTACAATACTTGTTGTGATGGGAATTGCAGCAGTATTGGGGACACTGATTTTATATACAGGTGCATCTCAATAAATTAGAATGTCATGGAAAAGTTCATTTATTTCAGTAATTCAACTCAAATTGTGAAACTCGTGTATTAAATAAATTCAATGCACACAGACTGAAGTAGTTTAAGTCTTTGGTTCTTTTAATTGTGATGATTTTGGCTCACATTTAACAAAAACCCACCAACTCACTATCTCAACACATTAGAATACTGCATAAGATGAATAAAAAAACATAATTAGTGAATTGTTGGCCTTCTGGAAAAGTATGTTCATTTACTGTACATGCACTCAATACTTGGTAGGGGCTCCTTTTACTTTAATTACTGCCTCAATTCGGCGTGGCATGGAGGTGATCAGTTTGTGGCACTGTTTTTTTTATTGGTCTTATGGAGTATTCTAATTTGTTGAGATAGTGAGTTGGTGGGTTTTTGTTAAATGTGAGCCAACATCATCATAATTAAAAGAACCAAAGACTTAAACTACTTCAGTCTGTGTGCATTGAATTTATTTAATACTCGAGTTTCACAATTTGAGTTGAATTACTGAAATAAATGAACTTTTCCACGACATTCTAATTTATTGAGATGCACCTGTATATATTTGTTTGATATATAAAAATAAAATTTGTAAACTTAAATACTAAATTAATTGAATGCTTATGAGTTATTATAGTTAATTGAAACTAACACAAAACCATAAAAAAAATCGTAAAGTAAAATAAAATAAACGTTAACTGAAATAAAATGTACACTGCAAAAAAAACCACAGCTGCCGTTTTTTTACCGTAAATTTTACGGAATTTTTTTTACAGTGTACAGTATATAAACAAATGTAAACTATTTGTACTTCAGCTAGTTGCTAAGGCAACATTTCTCCTTTTCATTCAGTAAAAATTAAAACCAAAATAATAGAAACTATGTAAACATAAATAAACATAAAAGTATAAAAATGACAAAAACACACAACAAAATGACTAAAACTAACCAAAATTAAAATTAACCTGGAAAATATAAAAAAGGCAAATTCAAAATATAAATAAAAACTATAATAGTATCTCAGTGATACTAAAATAACACATAATAATGTGAAGTAGTACTCTGGTTTTAACACTTTTTATTATTTATTAAAAAGAAAAACTGAAAGGCATTTAATATCCTCCTTTAACTTGGTGCAACAAATAGTCAAAATCTGTAGACTCTTGATTTAATTTTTCAGAGCTTCCTGTATGCATTTACAGTCATCCTGTCAACCATATGCAATGTTTTTTACATTTTAAAGTGTGACGTACTAAAAAGGCTTGTTCTAGTATTTAATTAGCTTTCTTTAAAGTTGGTTGTTTCTTGATGTTGTCAATATTTTTTCCAGGTGATCTCTAATGTGTTTTTTAAAGGAGAGCTCAGTAACACCACGCATGTCATCATTACCTTGGTGATCGTATCAGCGGCGACGGCCATATCGCTCTCTTATGACTGTCTGGGTATTGTACTGGAACTGAATGTGAGTTTTCCTGTTGTTTCATCAACATCAATGAAGCAGCAGTCAGTCATTCAGAGATGTGTGTAAATGTTGTGTTTCTGTGTCTCTCTCAGGGGGTTTTGAGCGCCATACCCCTCATGTTCATCTTCCCCGCCGCCTGTTTCCTGAAGCTCTCGGACGGCCGCTGGTTTCGCGGTGAAAACCTCATCCCCAGCATCATCCTGGCGGCAGGTGTTTTCGTGATGATTATCGGTTTGATCATGATGGTGCTCTTCCCTCAGGACTGTTCACACGGAGCAGAGCTGTTCTACTGCACCGTCTCCAACACCTCCGTTCCCAGCACCACTTCACCGAACAGCGGGCTGCAGTTTATTAACGCCACAATGTCAGCATTTTCTGACTGACATTAAGTTTGTCATTTTCACTGGAATCTTTTCATATGCCGTTTTCTAGTGATAAATTGTTGATGCAATTGGTGTATTAAAGAAATGACATAAAAACAATAGTTTTTTTTATTTTTTATTATGTGATGTACCTTCTAGATCTACGTTCTTGTTTTATATACTCGCCAATTTTCATTTGAAGACTGTAAACGTATAAAAGCATAAATGTATATGTCATTTGAACCCATACAGTAGCTTTATGTAAGGAACAGACCCAAATTTAAGTTATTCAATGATAATCTTTAGCTGAATGTGATGTGCAAGTTTGATTTTGGCCTAAATGGCCAAAATGTCAGTTTTGTACAAAAAAACAAAACCTTTGGAAAAGCTGCGCATCTATGAGTTATGGAGATGTTTATTGATATTAGTCACTATTAGCCTGTGTCCCAGAGGTTAAGTTTTATTAAAACAATTTTTCATGTTAGGACACATTGCCTTGGGAACCTTTTATCATGCCTTTATCAAAAAGCCATTTTTACTCTTGTGCCAGATTCTGAAAATCCATTATAAAAACAGTCATTTTTATGTTTAAATCTATAATTCTCTAAATAACTTGCAGTTATATGTACTATATATTAATATAATTATAACTTTGCATATTTATTTATATAGGCTACTTATTTTTATATTATATTTTATTTTAGAATGCTTGTTTACCAAAGAAACCCTATGAAATATGAGTTTTGTGTGCCATTTTCATCTGTAATTTTGTCAAATTATGCAAAAAAATGTGAAGGTATAATTTAACTTTTTGTAGGCTATTTGAGATAGCCTGCATAAAACGCTACCTGTAAAATTAGTTTAAGAAATACTCAATTTAATCAAAACATTTTAAAACTTTAAAATGTTTTAAAATTGTCCAAATTTTAAAATGTTGTTGTCAGAGATTGTTATGTTCACCAATTTCAGAAAAAGAAAAGTACATCCTCCCATGATGCTCGTCTGTTGTTGAGTTAAATTAATTGGTCAAATAGGTTAACTTAGTTAGTGTGTGGTTAATCGGAGATGAAAACACGAGATTTGACTCGGAAACAAAATGATTTGAGACTCATAAGCAATTGAATTGAGACTTGACGTCGACCAAAAATTAGATACTTGTGAATAACACACGTATTTAGACCTAAAGGGAATTATTTTCCTCCAAACGGAGTTTGTCGTGTATTTTGACGCCATTTTGCTCTAAATCTGAAGGAAGAAAAAACTAAACTAAACAACAACAACACGACTGGACAAGTGCAACACACTAAAGGCAACTTTTTGAGAGTTGATTAGTGACAAAATAGTCGTCGAATAGGCTATGTCTTCAACTATCGTTATCGTAAGGAAAATATATGTGTGAATATTCTTCAGAAACTCTCCTCAGATTTGTGTGACAGCATACGCTTATGGACTACATGAAGGTGAGTAAATAACAGCAATGCCTTCTTTTCCCTTCTCTTTTTTTCTGGGAAAAACCATGTACTGATCACTTTTATCACTAGATGTCGGTATTTTGCCAGTAGTAGTAGACCGTTAGTGAACTGTATATCTAAAAATCCTCTATAGCCGAGAGAATGTACTAAAATTATCATCATTTGGCATGTCTGTCAACATTTTCCTAATGCATCCAGATCGTATTTTACGTTAATTATGCTGCGTTTGAGAAGTTTTCAATCTGGAAGTCTCCCCTCAAACAAACGGAACTCTCTCGCTTGGCGTTACGTGGGATTTTAGCACATTCACTGATTTGTTGAGACTTTTCTGGTCTGGGGTGACATGTAAATTCGCATTCCACCGTTAAACCGGAGTGTGAACAGTCGATGAATCCAGTGTGAGGATGGGAGGGCTGGCAGAGACTGTAAATCATCGTGTCATGACTTGAATATGCGGGGCTACCGTCTCCTCGGTTGAATAGGAACAGAGGAGCGTCTGTTGACAGGGGCAGGACTCTGGAAAATATGGTGGGAGTTGCAGAATTTTAAGGGGGTAACAACAACGGGACATAAGTGATGCAGGGACCTATAAGCAGTGGTTTAAGTCTAGACAAAACCTGCTGGAGTTGTTGATGATGCTGTTTTGCCGTATTGCTAGCGAGACTGATGACAGTTGACAGCCTCGCGAAAGTTCAAGTGCGATCAAGGTAAGCTTGAGGCGTCGTGCTCATTCAAACTATTATGACTCATTTACTCGTGAAAAGCAAAAGGATTTATGGATAAAACGTCACATTTTCTTCCTAGCCTTCACCTACTGTCAAGTTTATTTGCTGTTTTGCTTGGTTTATAAAAAAAATGTGTGTCACGTCGGGATTTGAACCCGAGTCGCCTGGAACGCAAATCTTACCGGCTAATTTGTTAAAAACTAAATTGTTTCCACCCGATCATCTGTCATTTTGATTAAAGCAATATTTGACCACAAATGCAATCTTGTCATGATCTTGTAGACCTCTGGAAAACTTGGATGATTATTTTGACATTTGTGACCCCAAAACCAGTCATAAGGGTCAATTTGGGTCAAAGCTGAATAAATAAGCTTTCCATTGATGTATGATGTAGGACAGTATTTGGCTGAGATACAACTATTTCAAAATCTGAAATCTGAGGGTGCAAAAAAATCTAAATATTGAGAAAATCGCCTTTAAAGTTGTCCAAATGAAGTTCTTAGCAATGCATATTACTAATCAAAAATTAAGTTAAAAAAAAAAGTTATATTTACGGTAGGAAATTAAAAATATCTTCATGGAACATGATCTTTACTTAATATCCTAATGATTTTTGGCATAAAAGAACAATCGATAATTTTGACCCATACAATGTATTGTTGGCTATTGCTACAAATATACCCCAGCGACTTATGACTGGTTTTGTGGTCCATGGTCACATTTTATAAAAATATATGTATGTCGAATCGGAATTCGAACTTGAGTAGCCTTGAAAGCAAATCATTGCTAATTTATTAGAAACAAATGTTTTTAATTCATGGTAGTCTATTATGATGATTAAAGGTATAGTTTACCTCAAAATGAATTTTTTGTCAAGCTATTATAGAGCTTCAGAAGACTTGATGACTTTGATTTCTTGACAGCAATCCAAAAAGCATTGTGTGCGATCAAGTGTCATTTCTATTCAAACTATTATGACTTTTTTTTTTTTATTCCTGAAACACAAAAGGAATTGGTACATGTATGTAGAGTTGGCTTTCGAATATGAGTTGCCTTAAACGCAAGTCATACTGGCTAATTCATTAAAAATCTGTCTTTTTTTATTTATTTTTTTTAGAAGTCATGTTAGACATAGTCTGTCGAATAAAGGAATAGCCTAGTACACCTAAAAAATTGTCAAGCTAAGGCTTAAGTGATGATTTTGACTTTTCTTGACAGTTGACAGCCATGCAAAGTTTGTGTGTAATTGAGCATCATGCCTATTTAATCTTTAGCTACGCGTTGAATACAAAATGAAGTTATCAAATTGTCAGGGTTGTCATTTTCCATATTATGACAAATTCAGGGTGAACACTGGCTGTTAAGTTCATTTGCAAGTTTGTGCGGCTTATAAAATAAAAACTATGTTAAAGCGGGATTTGAACTCTGGTAATACAGTAGCATGTTCGAACAAAACCATATCACTATGGTACTGTCATTGATCATGAGTTATATTTCAAAATCCTCCTATTTGTAGTGACTAAATAAAGTGTTGACTGCCTGTAAAGATCCTCCCTCCATGGGAAAATACCTCTACACGCCCTGCTGAAAGAGCCTAAACTGGTTTGCTGGTCTTACCTGGTTTAAGCTGGTCTCCAAGCTGGACCAGATCAAAAGTGGCCAATGCCCTTCTAAAACCAGCCCACAGACCAGCATGCCAGCTTAGACTGGTTCAAAACCAAGAAGTTTGTTTTTTCAACAAGCCAACCATGCATGATGGGAAGGGATGCACCACCTTCTGCAGAACTGACTCGTCTAGTTTAACCTCTCCATCTGTCAGCAGCACTCCCTTAAGGCTGTGCCATGAGTCAGTAGTGTTTGCTTTCTGTCCTATAGTGCCAGGGATTTCAGAGCCGTGCAGGCTGCTGCAGGGATGGATGGCGATGCGCACAGCCGGCCTCCTGACCGAAGGTACACCGTAAGCACTGAAAGACTTACTTATTGGCTTTGGGTTTGATCTCTGTCGTTTCCGTGGTTTAGTTCATTGTTGAACTCAAACTTTAAAGACATGGATATGCTCGTGTTGTAAATTAAGGAAGTATTTCTCTGTAACTTCCATTTTATAACTTTTTTTTTGTTGCAATTTTTACAATGGTGTGCAATCAAGAGGATGGGAATAAAGAGCTGAAGGAGAGTTTGAGAGTTCGGACTTTGTAATTTTTTATATAGTTTTTGAACATCTTTTACTATACAGATTTTGAATTTGATCAAATGCATGGATGTAATGCTTTAAGAGTGGCAATTTCGTGGAAATTTCTAATATGTACTGACAGATGTGCTGTTGTTTTCCCATCGAAATGAATGATGTCACTTCCTGGAGGATGATGTCATTGAGCAACTGGCTTTTGTTAGTAAAGGGATTTTGCAGAAGGCTGACAGATAGAAAGTGAGGACATGGGAAGAACTATGAAAATGTTTTGTAGAAATTTCCCAGTTATACAGTAGGTGTAGATATTTGAGTCCGATAGGAAACTAGATGTTATGCATGTGTGTTTGTTCTTTCATATTGTGGATTTAAAGATTATGTGGAATGAAGAGAAAAAGGGTCAGCTAATATTTGTAATTTTTTATTGCAAGTTTTTCCAGTTTTCTTTAACCTGCAAGCAGTTGATTGCACATTCCAGCTCTATGTGAAGAAAAATCACAGTGATGCATAGTGTGAGATCTGGAATCAATGATTTTAAATAACTGAAAATAAATATATGGATGGAATGCATTGGGCAGGACTAACATTTATGTGATCTGTTACTGCAGACTGGGCTGTTTATGAGTGAAGATTTAGATGTTGTGCGTCTAAATGTGTCTCTGGTTGTGTGTTTGTTTACAAGACAGTCTGACTGTAATTAAAGTCTCTGTTGTCGTAGGCATTGCCTCGACCTTTGACATCGGTGCATTTCCTGCCTGCAGAGCAGAGCTGAGAAACGCTCTTTGACACATGTGGAGGTCATGGGAAATTAACTTTAGGGAGGGGGGGGACTTTTGCAAAAATTCTTCTGCTTAATTTCTTTGCTGGGGAAATGAGGATGTAATTGCATTGCGTTTGTAACTTTACTGGACAAGAGTCATCTAGCGAAGAACAGGGTCCACGGTTTTCATTTCCCTCTTAGATATGACTGGAGATTACAGAAAAATGACGATGTGATGCTTGTTAATTTGACCTCAGAGGCAATTGTACTTATCTGGTGTGATAATCCATGGCTGTGGGGCAGGACTCAGAATCAAAAGACTAGGAAATTTAAAATATACAAACCAGATGCAGAACCTGGTTTTTGAAAACCACGTGAGGCCGATTAGCCGTCTATATCATGAGGAAATCTGGATTTTGAATCCTCCATATACAGTACATTAGCGTCAAATATGACCTTTATTAACACACTTTGCACTTTAAGACTTTGGAAATTTGTGCTCCATGGGTTCAGATTTAGCTAGCAGAGGATGATGTCAGCTGAGAACGTTCCAATGGCTGGAAGCGTTTTCTATGAAATCTGAGATTTTTTTCCAGCACGTTGTCATAACTCTCTTTTTCTGCACACACACACACACACACACACACACACACACGAGCACATCCCTGTGTTATTGTGATTTTAATTAGAGGCGAGTCTGATATTTTGAAGGCTTTTTATGAGAGCCTTTTGAGCCTCATGCAAACGCTCTGATTTTCCACCCAGAAATATTTGATTAGTGTTGCCCATGGGCTTTACGAAGAGAAAGTTTTGTTGTGTTAAACAGCATGTCTCTTAACCGCACAGAAGTTGTTGTGTAATTCGGGAGCAGGATTTTGGTTTCTCTGGCATTGTGGGGCATCAGGCCATCAACCATCTCTCTGCATGTCTGTGGTGCAACTCTGTTTGTAAATTGTAAATTTGTATCCTTTCGCCAAGTTGCACAGCTTATTTTTGGTTTGGTTATTTGGTCCATACACAAGTTTGGTTTCACCCTATTGCCCTGCAGGTATTATTTGTAGGTATTATTATTATAATGTATTATTTGAGTCTGTACAGTAGGTCTGGGTAAAAATATGGATTTTTCGGTTAATGGCAATCCTCAGGTGAAAGATAAAACTATAAAACCCAACCGTTGTAGTCTGATTCTCAAACACATTTTTTTTTTCTCTAATGAGCAATTTAAAAAAGACGAGTTACCAATTTGAATCAGTGTGAAACTGATCTAGTCTTGTTTTTACTTGAAACCTGGCATTGCGCACTGAATATAGTTGGTTCTATGACAAATTGCTTGTGATTTTCCTAGCTTTGGATAAAAACATCTAAAAAAAAAAAAGAAGCACCTAAAGCAAATGTAATTAAACACTGCCTAAGCAGTCAGTGATATAATTTCTATGTGTAATAATAACATATAAGCAAAATGGACATTATTGAATCAGCCCAGTCCAACCAAAATCTCAGTAAATGCATATCCAGGGTTTCTGCAGGTATTAAAAAGTCTTAAAGGGGTCATATGATGTTGCTAAAAAGAACATTATTTTGTGTATTTGGTGTAATGAAATGTGTTTATGCGGTTTAAGGTTAAAAAAACACATTATCTTCCACATACTGTACATTTATTGTTTCTCCTCTATGCCCCGCCTTTCTGAAACGTGTCGATTTTTACAACAACCACATGTGACGACCCCGGGCTGAACTCCGCTTCGTCCACGACGAAAGCCGATCCGGTGATCCACAGCACGAAGTTGATGCATTTCCTCAGCGACCAGCACGGATCAGCTCCAGGCATGACGAAGCGAATATCGTCCTCTTTTGGAAGGCCAAACAAAGTAGTTTCGCTTTCACAACGAAAAAGCGTCACACACCGCGGCTAGAGTATGCGGAGGCCGCTTGAGTGAGCAGAGGCGGGCAGGTTTGAGAACGGCGCGGCCGGCGGATTCGAGGAAGGAGCGTCCGGAGGGCTTGCGGCAACCACATGTGACGACCCCGGGCTTTTTGGATTTGAGACTTTAATCTTTGCAACTTTACAGATCTTCTTTATGCACCAAGAGCTTGTAACACTCCAAAGAGAAAGGAAAAATTGAAATCGCATCATATGACCCCTTTAATTTTTTTTCCTTCTACAAATTAAGGCCTTAAAATGTCTTCAATCAGAGCAGAAAGTCTTAAATGCATAGTCATGACGTAAAACGTGCACTGCAAGAAAATTTATATTTTTGTCAGTGTTTTTGTCTTGGTTTCCAATACAAATATCTAAACATCCTTAAATTAAAATTCAATTACTTGAAATTGTTTAATTTTTTTAGAAATTCTGTGATTTTATGCTTAAAACAAGAACAAATATCTGCCAATGGGTTATGTGAAACTTGTTTTCCCTTTGAATTAGGTTTATTTCTCTCATTGGCAGATATTTGATATTATTTAAATCAGAAATTCACTTCATTTTGATACATTTCCCATAAATCAAAACTTTTATCATGTCTTTTTAATGTAATGCAGTTTTAGACATTTGCTCTGAAAAACAAGACAAAAATACTTAGAAGTATCATTACTTTTGTGCAGTGTTATTTGATGATACTATAAAAGTTATTTTTGTATTGTATTTTTTTTGTACAATTAATTAAAAAATAATTAAAATTAATTAAAAAATAATCATTTGAAGTTAGAGAATTGTGTTCCTTTAATTTATTCCTTACATTTTCTTTAATTGGTCTTAAAAAGGTCATGCAGACTTGCAGAATCCCTGATTTCATCCCTAATGTAATTCTCCAAGTACATACACATCCTTTTGCATGTAGCTACTAATGCATATGTTGCACTCTCACCGCCATACAACACATTGGACAATCGGTTTTGCAGATTTCCCTCCAAGAAAGTGCAGAAAATGTGAGCCTGCTAATAATGTACAGTAACTGCAGATGTGCCCACATCTAATGGCGAGTTCATATTCTGGAAACTCAGAATGGTAAAAGAAGAGACTGACAAATGAGGGGAATTTAAGCTTGATCTCTGCAAATATGAAAGCAAGATGTGGAACTTCGCAGGTGTTGGCAGGACTCTTGTACGCTGCTGCAGTTTGGCTTCTTTCACTCTTGACATCTGCTCTTGGAATTCCGAGTTGGAAGGATGGCTACGGCGATGTGAATAACTGTCGGAATGTTTACTCGCTTATGATGTCATCTTGTGTGATCTTTGGTCATTTCCAAATGATCAACACACACACTTCTACCTCAGTGCAGCAAGGACGAGGCCTTGACAACAAAGTGTCACCTCAGGGACCGGGGTATGGAAGCACTTAAGTGTTTTTGCAGATGTTTCCATACTTTCTCACACTCTATCGTTCTCTCTTCGCATACTAACACACACACACAGAGTCCGCTTGCACAGCTGTTCTATCTAATCCAGTGTTGAAAGCTAGCAGTGATGTTATGATGTTGGCTTGACAAAGACCTTCTGGAAACCACCCAGAACACTATATAAACCACCTAGCAACACCTTAGATACCATCAGAACACTAGAAAATAAATGTCTCTCAGGTGACACTTTCTCATCAAGGCCTTGCTTATCTTAACAAGCCAGAACACCCTAGCAACTACCAGTGATGGGTAGTAACTGATTACATGTAATTTGGATTATGTAAGCAGATTCCAAAAAATTAAGTACTTGTAGTTAGATTATATTACATATTAAAATACTCGTAAAAAGTGTTTTCACAACATTTCAACATAGCATTTACTACTTTTTATTTGAATTAGCACTCAATAATTTGTAATACATTTGCGTGTTCATAGTTTTCTGACGTTGGTTAATGGTCACATGACATGCAGATAAACAATATTTCTTTTTAGTAAGTGCTTTATTTTGATTGTTGTTATTTTAAAAATTATTTGTTTTAATTTTTCAAATTTTTATGATTTTGGCTAGCTGATTATTAGGTTTCATTAAACTCCGGAACCCCCTGCAGTT